GTGTATTATGTTGCTAAAATTTAAAATAAAAATACTCTCGTCACACCACCAAATGATTAAAATTATTATATTTTAAATAATTCATAATCTTTAAAAAATTCATTTTTATTATTAAAATTTAATTTATTAGTTGATTTTATTTAATCTATTAAATATTATTAAACACATGACAAATTAATTAAAATAATTACATTATTTATTAACATATTGAAATAATTAATTGATATTTGTGACTTTATTAAATACTACATATTTAACACATTAATTAATATAATTACATTATTTACTCTTTATTTAAATGATTTAAATCTCTAATTCATTTAAAAAAATAATGTGGACATCCTAGGTGCATATATAATAGCCAGAGAAATTAAGGTGCAAATATAATGGGCTTGGTCAACTACCGATCAAATTGAAAATATCAGCAATATATTCCTTATTGGTAATGTTTAGTTGGTAAAAAGATAGGAATAATAGCAACATGGTATATGTTGCTAATACTTTAGGTGGTTGGAAAATTTTTAAAAACATAGTTATTGTTGTTAAAATTCATTTTCAGCAACAAGGGACATGTTGCCGAAAATGGAATCCTTATTTGAGGGGGAAAGTGCGATGTATGGCTATTGAAAAATATCAGCAACAAAGGGTATGTTGCTGAAAGTGGAGCAACTTTTGGATGGGAGAAGTGTATTGTATAACTTTCAGCAACTAAAACTTTGTTGGTGATACAATTTTTCAACAACAAAGAATCTCATGTTACTTATATTTATTGCTAAAAGTCAAAATTTTAGTGGTGATATATTTGTTGTGCAACATAAATAATGTAAGTACCCTTAGTATCATATATGATCTTATTAATGGTAAAAAGGTGATTTACAATTACATTTCTGTCTTAAAGAAATGGAACCCAAACTTTTTCAATGTAAGAAATCAAATACTTATATAGCAATCAAAATTCCAAGTTTTTCTTAATTCACGACACTGCAATGCCTCCGGACTTCACCTTGGGTACCGGTGAGCACATCGAGGGAACCCATATGCACCATTGCCTTGGCAAACTTCTTAGCCCACAGAGCACCATGCCTCGCATTGTTCACCACCATTCCTGTGGTTAAATGGCTGTTCATCAGTGTCTGATCAGAAGTCAGCAATCCAAGGTTGTACTTAAGCTCTTCGTAGTACTTGTTATCCAGCCGAGTAGGTGTTGCAACGTCCAGCGCCACCGTGGCGTTTGCACCGAGGCTGGGGCACTTGGTTTTCAAGAAAGCAGCGTAACTGGGGTCCAGAGATGGGTCCTGAGCATCAGTGGCGTTGAAGGAGAGGCGTTCAGAGAAGGAAGAGCAGTGAGAAACGCCAATGGAGTGTGCCCCGGAAAGTGTTACCATCTCGTCCACAGACATTCCCTTTCTTGCAAAATTCTTGATAAGATCCGATGCATGGAGGGTGGATGACGGTAGATTCTGGGCCACTTCGTCCTTAATTGAAACTCGTCCATCGCGGCGTCCAGCGGGAACGGCGTAGTATATTCCTCCAGCTTTATAGGCGCTGTCCCTGGCAGCAAAGGCAATAACATCGGCGCAAGAGACGATTCCAGGACAGACAGCCTCAATCTGTGCTTTAGCTTCATCAATTACCTCGAAGCCTCGTAAACTTGGGTTGTTGAAAGAACTATCCCGTTCTGCAACGTTTCCCGGTGTGGATTTCAGTAGCACAGAAGCATCACATCCCTGAACAACACAATATTTCATAACAATCCCAAGTTAGCAACAGAAAAAACATGAACAATTCCAGGGAAAACACAGATTGAGAAATGATGAACAGAGCAGAGCAGATACAAACCCTGACAAAACAATCATGAAAATGCATCCTTATAACACCAGCAGCTATGCCAGGATTGCTCGTAACAGCTCTCTTTACTGCTTCTCTGACAATTGTTTCTGCTGCTGGGCAAGTTTTTTGATAGAACCCAACTCTCAGATAAGCCCCTGAAGCAGAAGCATATGCAAAACAGAGCAAGAGGAAGAAGATGGGAGAGATCATTGTAGAAGAAGATGATTTCATTTTGTGGAACAGAGTAAGCTACTAAAGCTGGTTAGTGATTACACAAAGTGGATTGGATGTGGAAAAACAGTGTGATGCTAGGGGATTATATATAGGTGGGGGATTAGTATTACTTCAGGAGGTGAAACCGTGTGGGGCTGTGGGGCTGTAAGCACTGCTTCCAATTTTGAACCTTTCTTCATGGTTTGAACTGTTCTTTCTTCCTTCGCTTGCTGATTTGCTCTCATTTCATTGTTTTTGACATGTAGAATTATCTATTTTAAATGCCATAAGAAACTTCATGTTACAGACTTAAATAATTAGGTTTGCTGTCACATACTCTAAAAAGTGTAAGTAGAAGCAACTCACAGTCCTCCTGAGGAGGTCCACACAATAGTTATATGCTGTAAAGTTGGTATAGATTATTATTAAGATATGAACATAACAATTCACCATGAACCATTCATCATGAACCATGAATCATGAACCATTCACACTATTCAGATTCTATTCACACTATTTACAATAATTAATTTTCAACCTGTTCAAATTTCTAGCAATTGTCATTAATAACAATTTGACATACCATACAAAGTAAAGCTATGTATAAATTCATGCTGGCGTAAGTAAATGGGAAACTGAGTTTCCTCTTTTATATTTTACTTACATGTTAAGTCATGGAAACCCAAGATTAGAGATTTTTCTCCTCTAGTCCTTCTTCTTTGTTTCCAAAAAGGTAAAAGCTGGGACCAAAGCCTCCCATAGTTATTCCCTTTCAAAACTTTAACTCGCAACTCTGCTTCTTAAGATGTGAGGAGACTTCGTGAATTTTGTCATTACTCTTCTTTTTTTTTTTTCCCATATATTCTATTTGATCAGGTCATTAAGAATGAAATCATTGCAAGAAATAACTATTAGCTGGAAGCAAGTAGTATAATGAACTGTTAATTATGTGTCAATGGTTGACAAATGGCAAAACAGGGTTAGAGTAAATTGATTGCATATTATGAACAAGTTCCCGGACACATAATTTTTATTGATTGTAGTTAGTATTAGTCAGTTTTTTCTTCTTTTTTTTTTTCCTAGAGTGGAAAACAACTTGCCATCGTCTATTGAAAAAAAGAAAATAAAGATTAATTATTATCATTGGTGATGAGTGGGTTAAAAAACTTTTGAAATGATGAAAGTAGGCACCATGCCGCATCACAACCAGGCATCCATGAAATGTTGGGTGTTATTATGTCAATTAGAATCTATTTCTTTTCTTATTACATGAACTTTCAGGGTTTTAGCTTTAGGAATTAGGATATCCTTTGGTGGAAGAGGCACAAATATGGACTTGAGGTTTGAAATTGACCACCCAACTTTTAGCTTAGTGCTTGATACAGAGGCGTTGGTTGGTGATACTCAAATGTGTATGTATTGTTTTTTGAATGGCATAAAACTTTAGAAAGAAAAACGTTATGGGTGACATTTTTTTTATGGGAACATTATGAGTGAATTAAGAAGAAGAGAATACTTACTAATGTAAAATTTTTAATTTTTAATTAAAATTAAGTATTTAAATTTTTACAATGTCAAATGGCTCACACTTATAAATTATCTTATTAAAGATAATTATTTTGAAATTTTTTTGCTAGTATTAAAATGTTAATATATTTATAATAGTTATGCCTATATTAATTACTGTAATTAAATATTTTGATATTTTTAATATATCTTAATTGATATTGGTTTCTCTTTAATGTCATTCTCTCTTGGTTTTTTGGGTTTGAGTATCACTTTATAGTAAAAGTTTTTATTGAGAAAGGAATTTTAAAAAAATACTATATTAGGTTTTGTAACAAAATTTTATTAAAATTTTGTTAAATTATTAACTTTATCATTTCTTATAAGAAATTGATGTAGAAAGAGGTTAGTAGGGAGAGGAGTTAAGTAGATCCATAGAGAGATAGTTATATGAAAAATCTTGTCTTGCAAAAGAAAGTAGAACAAAAAATTTTATAAGTTAGGAATTATAATAGAGAAAATAAAAAATAAAAATATTAATTTTACAATATATAAATAATTTTATTAAAAAATTTAAATATTTTAAAAAAAAGATTACCTCCAACCGTACACCCCTTCTGAGTATTTATTATTACGGTAAGTAATTTCATTTTATATAAAAATTATTAATTATCAATTATATTATACGAAAAAAAAA